CTGGATTGGGGAAGGTAGATGAAGAGCTGGGTTTTCTCTGTGATTTGGCAAGATACTGAAGGTACAGACGTCTAAGAGACAGTTAGAAATGAGGCATCAGGAATTGGGAACAAGATTGAAACTTGAGTTATGAATTTGAGATTCACCTTCCCCAAAGCAGTTGTTGAATTCTGGGAGAGTAAAAAGGTGGAGATCACAGGTTTGAAAGGGACAGGAGCAGTAATTTCTGAGAATCTATGGGAGTCCTCTTGAAGCCTTGATTTGACAGCATGAAACTAAGGCCACCACTCTGTTTGTTTAACTGTTGACATTAAAATGAACAAAGCTTGATAGCAGCCATTGGTTTTGTTTTTAATTAAAATGTGTTTCTTGTATTCAACATATTGTTGAGTCTTGCTTCTTGACACATTCTGCCAGTCTGTTTCATTTGATTGTGAATTGAGACCATTAATATTGATTGTTATGGTTGATATGTATTGACTTATCCTTGTCATGACCTTTTCCTGTTTTTGGATTCTCTGCCTTTGCATTTAGTTTCTTGTCTTGCCTGATGGATTCTTTCCACTGGGTTTCATGGGGTTGTGACCTTCATTGTCTTTTCCTAGGATATTGTTTAAACATTTTTGTAGTGCTGATAAATAGGACACACATGTGTCAATACAGAATGCTTTCTCTGGTGTGAGAAACTTAAAATGTAAGTAAGGATCAAAATGTATACTAGATAATGTGAAATAGGGAGAAAAGATCCTATGGGGCAGGGGAAGTTGAGGGGTAGGGGAAAGGAGAGAAGGAAAGGAATAAATATGAGAAAAGGAAAAAATAGAAACAAAGTCTTTGTAGGAAGAGGTGGAAGAGTTGGAGGGAGGGCAGGGGAATGGGGAAAAGAATAAGAACCAAGACACCTCCTGTAAAGATACAAATTCCCAATGATGAATGTTATCATATTGTATACTTAAAATGTATCAATAAGCTTAATGAATAAAAAACCCCACTATTTCCCCCCTACCCCCCAAAAATGAATAAAGCTATTTGTTTTCCTGGCCCATAGTGTTTTTTTTAAAGCAGTAAGAACAGCGATTCCACTGGTAAAACTCTATGCACTTACATTTATACCAGATGACCATGCAAATTTAGATTATGTTTTCATGAGGTAACATTATCAATGGTAGTTATAAGGTGCAGTGATATTTTTAGAAATCATAAACATGTTTCCCTTGTGCAAATGTAAGAAAAACCCGTCAATGCCAGAAATTGGGATGCTATAAAAAGCCAGATGAGTGCACTCTTAAGTGCTTACTGAGAAGAAAAACAGACCAAGGTATGTATCCAAGCAGAATACATGTTTTATCGCTTAGGTATGACTTTGTACATGGCTATGGCATCTGGAGCATTGAATGGAGAGATAGAAAGCTATAGTGTCTGTCCCACACTGCTCTCTATTATCTGGCAACTAGCACTTTCTGTGTCCTTTCTCAACATTGGCATTATTGACCATTTGGGTTGGATAATTCATTACTGGAGGCTGGTTTGTGCATTTGTGGGTGATTTGCAGCATTTCTGATCTGTACTCTCTGGATGCCAGTCACACTGCCTTTTGCACATGAACTGTAATAACTACAAGGTGTACAGACATAGCCAAATATCCTCTTGGAGGCTCAACTGCCCAGTTGAGAATAACCGCCTGAAAGGTGAAAACAGCCGGTGAAACAGTGAGTGCTTATTAATCTTTGTGATGAAAGGACCGTGAGGGCTGCAGATGACTGGCAGGATTGAACAACAGACATGGGTACCTTAGGGAGAGTTGACAGCGACACCTCACAGATAAGGTATTGAGACAAAAGACCCAGGAGGAAGGTGGAGAATAAGAAAACCACCACCCACTGTGCCAAGAATGGGAATCATTTTGGGATGTTAATTATCTTACAGAGATGTGAGATGCTGATAGATGCTGTCTGTAATGTGTTCATAGACAGCCTTGTTCCCTGTGTGTGGATATCATGGGCCACCTTTCCATACAGCCTTAGCTTGCTCTGGGTGGACTGATGGGATTCTCTTGGATCACCTGGGATACAGCTTTCATTAGGGTGTGGGTGGTACAGTTCATGAAAAGGCAAAAATGAGAATAAGAAATAGGAATAAATGGGCTGTGTCTATACTGGGGTGAGTGTGTCAGTACCTCACCTCTCTCCTCACTTTGAGCTTAGTCAAGGTGCTTACCCCCTCAGGACATTGCTCTCCATATATATATTATATATATTATTATATATCATATAAAGTTAAAAGCACAACATTTAATTATTTTCACACCATAGCTTCACATCTTGTTGAAATTCTAATAGTTTTTGGGGAAGAGTATTAATGAGTTAATAGATGTAAGGTAGGTAGAATAATTCTGAGAACGTATTACGAATATTGGAATAGAGGAAGGAGATAGTTTCACATACTGCAGATATGATTTATAGTCCCAAAACACCTATAATCTACTGGTAACATTTGAGACAGTCAGTGAATTTGTTAAAGTAACTAAATTAAAATTAATCTCAAGACATAAGCTATTTTTCTTTAATTTAGCAACAGTGATGGGCTGAATTCTGTCTTCTCTATCCTTGTGTGTATTGACATTCTAATGACCAAAACCTAGAAAAAGGTGAAGTGGATTTGGGGCTGAGTAATGAGCAGAAATTGGAAGAGCTTTGATGTGCACTTTCTAGAAAGCCTAGATGCCATGAAAGAGATTGTTGGTAGAAATGCAGGCTACAAAGTGCTTTGGGCAAGATCTTAGAAAACAGAGGAAAAGCAATCCTTTTCATACACTGGAAAAGAAACTGGCTGAATCGTATTCTAAAGATATTTTAGAAGGTAGAATTTGTGTGTGATGAACATCAATATTCTTTTGAGTATATTTCAAGCTAAATTTTGAAGATAGGTCTGTTTTCTATGTCCTACTTATAATGTGAGATGATATGGATAGAAGAAAGAATTGGGAAAAAAAGAACCAAGATAGATTATGTATAGATACAAATTTGCAATGATGAATGTCATTATATTGTATACCTAAGGTGTACCAATAAAATTAATTTATAAAAACTTGAAAAGTTCTCAGATTATCTCTGTTGAAAAATGAGAAAAAGTGTGTTTTGGAAAGACCACGAAGGGTGTCACTTTATAGTTACCTGATAAAGCCTTTATGAGTATGGCTCATAGACCCAGTCAACCATCTCAACAGAAAGGCGGCCGGTGTGGACTGACCAGGTCAAGGACAAGAAGAACTGAAAGAAGTCTGACTGACCTTTGGGATTTTGACAAATGGTCAATATGTTGTCTGACCCTTCAGGTGAAGAGTAGAAGAGCCCTAGAGCTGGCTCAGAGACTGGCAAGGCAATAAGAGCCATGATGAACCCAAGCAACACTGGCTGAAGGGCAGAGTTGTTTCTTCCATGGCCTCAGAGCCACTTCCTTGGTGTCGGTGGACCAGGTTGTTGCCTCCTTGTGAAGCAAAGGGGACAGGACCATCACTCTGTAGGACCAAGGGCTGGGGGATGCCATCCTAGAAATCCTGAAAGGCAGAGAATGGAACCTAAAAAGGTCATTCTTGTGGTGTTAAACCTAGTAGAATTTACTATTGTTTTGGAACTGTTCATTTTCAATTCTGTCTTTTGTAACAGGAGTGTCTATTTTATGCTTCTCCTAGGATTGCATGCTGCAAGCCAACAGCTTGTCTGGCTGTACAGGTTTACAGCTGGAGAGGAATTTTGCCTCAGAATGAATCATACCTCCAGTCTTACTTATACCTAATTTAGATGATATTTAGATGAGATTTTGGACTTAGATTTGATGCTAGCATATGTTAAATACTTTTGTGGATGTTAGAATATAGTGATGCATTTTACATAAAAGAACATGAATTGGGACCAGAAGGCAGAAGGTTATGGGCTGAATTGTGTCCCTGTCAAATCCATATGGCAAAGTCCTGTCATATACTCTGCAGGGGACTGTAATACTGACTATGCCCAAAGCAGGCTGTAAAGAGTGATCCCCACACTTGGCTTGTTTACAGAGGTGAGTCTGGCCAAAGTCAGAGTAACTCACACCCAAATTCCTCTCACACAACTAAAGGACAATGTTCTAATTACAGCCATATATTTTGTCTATTCTGTTCCTAATTCAAAAATGCTTTGTGTTGTCCTTTATGGGCCTTGTTTACATTAATTTCCATAGAAAAATCCATGCAGCTTGCCTTTACCCCAATTGATTTGCAATAAAAGTTAGTGCCTGGGACTGGCCAGAGCCTTTGTCAGTTGCACTGGCATTGGTCTTCCTGGCACCCACATTCTCTCTCCTAGTTCTTTCTTTTAGTTATTTTTTTCAGGCCTGTATTGCATACTGGGTAGAGGACTGGGACCTAACTGCTGAGTCTCCAGTAATCTCACCTCAGGATGTAACTATAGTGGGAGATAATGCCTTTACATAGATCACAAGAATAAAATTGTGAAATGTCAGTAGGTCATCACTGAATATGATCAGCATCATCAGAAAAAGAGATCTGGACACAAACGACACAGAGACCAACAGGAATAATATGAAGGCACAGTGAGGAAATAACAATGGTCATCCCAAAATCATTCTGCTCAGGGAGATGCCCTTGCTCAAATCTCTCCCCTCTGAAGACCGCTTTGTCTCAGATCTGCATAACTGCAAGGCCAATATGAGGTTTATCTCAGAGCCAAGGACAAAGCCGCCCCAAGGGAGGTCTGGATCTCAAGGACCACGACTTAGGACCCACATCAGCTCCTCCCACCCGAGCACGTTGCTACATCTCGACATCTGGGTTTGAGCCAGGCATTCAGTCACCATAGCAGTAGCCGCATCAGGGCCGAGTGGGCTGTGCAATGAGTCAGTGAGTCTCACACCCCAATATCCAGTTTGCAAGATTGGGCCATTGCTTTACTCTTTATAAGGATGAAATCCAAGGATTGAAAAAGAAAACTGTGCAGAGCTAGTTCATTGTCCAAATAAAGGGACTAATGTAGATGAAGAATTTACAAAATGGTTCCCTGGAGGAAGAAAGAAACTTTTATGGCTAGAAAGCCGAGGGTCACACCAGGTATGAATAAGATTTTGACTCATGCTAGCAACCAGGGGCCAAATAATCACCCGAGTTTAGGACAAGTTCTGCTGTTTATTGGTGAGGGAGGTTGTTAATTAGGTTCAGTGAAGTGCTGACAGAGCAGATAGATCGAAGGGCTTAGTTTTTTTCTGTTTTAGTTAGAGTTCACTTTTTTTTAAAAATCAATATTACCTGCTTAGAACCAGCTATTATAAAACACAGCGTTAGTTTTAGTATCTTCTCAGCAATTGTTGTGCAAGTGCAGACTTCTGCTCTGACAATCAGTAGGTGCCTACCTGGTGGCTCATGAAGGCTAATAATTTCCTGGTACTTAGTTTCCTCTCTTTTTGCCTCTCAATTTCCAAGTTTTACATCGTGTCAAGGTCTGTGTTAGAGGTGGATGCAGTCTTTCATCTCTGTTTGCTACTTGCATTCAAGGCAACCTGAAAGTGATATATACGTTTTCTTTGGGCATTGTTTTCTTGGAATTAAGGAGTTCATCTACTTCATGCCTTAGGCCCAGAGAACTTCCATTTGTAAGGAGAGAGCTCAAAGTGTCTAAGCACTGATTAGCTTGCCAGTTATGCTACTCAAATATCACACTTCTTGGTCTCAGATAAGGAAGCCTCATGTGAAGTTATTCAAGCCACACTTTTTAAGCACACATCAGTATGGTTCCTTTCATTTACCACCTTATCAGATAGACTTTATGTTGGGTAAAAGCAATGTTGAAATATGTAGGATGTAATTGACTCTGTGATTCCTTAGTTGTTTTTTCACTTTTCTTCAGTATTCAAATCTTCCTGGCCCTTTAACTAAATTACTAGTAGTAACCAGGTAACATTTTAGAAAGAATTGGTTTATGTGTAAATCTTTTACATCCAAAGGCCTTGCCAGATGGTCAAAACTAAGTCATTTTGACCAAACATCTGTATCTATTTACATCTGTCTGTCTGTCTATCTATCTATCTATCTATCTATCTATCTATCTATCTATCTACCTATGTTCCATCTATCCATCCATCTGTTATCTACCTCTTGTTGGGGGAATGCTGTTTTCACAAGAGTGATCAGTTGTTTTAATTGTACAACTCAGTAATAATCCTTCTCAAAATTGTTCAGCCATCACAACAGTACAATTCTAGACTGTTTCCAACTGCCCAAAAGATACTCTCTTTTCTTATCCCCAGCCCTATAGAACCATGTTAGGTCTCCACAGATTTGGCATTTCTAGAGAGTTCATATATGTGGAATCATGTAGTATATGATTTTTTTGCATTTATTTTATTCCACTTAGCATAATGTTTTGAAATTCTTTATGTAGCTAGGATACCCCATTCCTTTTTATTGACAAACAGACTATTATATGATTATAATACATTTGATTATGTATTCATTTAACAAAACTGTATTCATATTTATATTTCTCAATGGAACATAGTGCTAGATAGTTGCTAACAGTGCCGATCAACTGAATCATTCATGAATGAATTGGATATTAATTAAAGCAAGCAAATAATTCACACCAGGACGGCTTTGGACATAGCCATGTATACTAAGTGCAGGTGAAGCACAAAGGAAGGAGGCATTATTTTTGTCTTGAGGACTTGGAAAAGGTTTCACAGAAGGGAAGCATTTTTACAGGCATGTGAAAATGATTTTGAACTTATTTATACTCCTCTGGGTCTATGCTGCCTTTCTCGGAATCTTAAAAGGACAAATTAACATTAGGAATGGGAAAAAAACTGGGGTGGCCAGAGAGAAGAATGGGGCGGGGTTGTAGTATGGGGGTAGTCTTCAGGAAAGTGATAGGATCCTGCATGGAACAGTCAGGTGGAGAAGATTTCATGTATTTTCCTATTTCTTAGACTGTGGAAACCCTACAAGCTCACATGTTACTTCCCTGTGAAGCATTCTCTGGAGGACCAATCAGAATTAATCCATTTTTCTCTTTGCCAGGAGATGGAAGAAAACAAGCATTACAACATGGACTAGAAGCGTCATGTTTTGAGATAGCTCAAGGTTAGAGGTTTCCGTACCAGATTCCACCCAAGAGAAAAAGTCAAGGCTGTGTCTTATACTTGCATCTTATGCAGTGCCCCAAACGGAAGCTTTGCATACACTCATGGTCTGTTGAAAGATTACTAGGAATTAGCGATTTATTGAGGGTTGAGTTTCAGTAGCAGTTCTTTTGATGTTCCTTACATTTACCAGCCCTTTAGCTTCTGACTTGGTGTCAGCCAGATGCATTCTGGTCTTATCCATCCGTGCCTCTGTTTCTTAGAGGTTTATAGTTTCTGTGGCAGAAGTAGGGGCACCATAGCAATTCAAATCACTTGCTTGTGTCTGCCTTTTTTCTTTCTTCCACAGGATTGTTTATGCCACGATCCTTAATATTTAAACTATAGGCTTGCTGTACTTGGTTGGACCCTCTGCTCCTATAGGTTAGAATTTTGTTCGCCATAGTTTGCAGTGGCACTGGCTACCTTTCTTTCATGGGAGGTCAAAAGTTGAGCTGACTTTGCTTACCACATAGGGGCTGCACGGAATTTGTCAGGTGAGACTGGATCAGCCGCCCCGGCTGGGTGTCCTGCATCTTGGGTGTACCTTTCCCAACAGGGCTGCCGTGGAAAACCCTGTGTGTTGCCCATGGCTGGCCGACCACAACCTGAATATCTGTAACAGCACCGTTAATATATTCCTCCACTTGCTCAGGGATAGAACCCACTTTCTGGCTATGTGCAGAGACTATAATACTGATTATGCCCAAGGCAGGCTGTGAAGAGCTAACCCCACACTTGGCTTTTTTATAGATCTGAGTCTGTCTGAGCCTATGTGCCCAGGTCAGATTAACTCGCTCCCAAATTCTGTTCCAACAACTAAAACCTTGAGAGGAGAAGGACAATGTTCTAATTACAATTGTGCATTTTGTCTATTGTATTCCTAATTCGAGAAAGCTTTGTCCTGTCCTTTATAAGACTTGTTTACATTAATTTCCATAGGAACCACACATCTCCTGTATCCCAACTGATTGTCAGTAATAGTCTGTGCCTGGGACTGGCCAGGGCCTTTGTCAGTTACTCCGGCACTGGATGTACTGGCTCCCTGCTTTCTCTTTCTTAGTTCTGTGTTTTAGTGTATCTTTCTTCTCAGGCCTGTGTCGTACACTGGGCAGGTGGGTACTGGAACTTGACAAAAGGAGTCTCCACCAGCTGTGACCTTGGCTGGGGGAAAGAACAGAACTACAAAGTCCGACAGTGTCTCTATTGTGGATGTGACTTTGCAATTCCAGAACATGAAAGTCTCTTTCTTAATGTGCAAAATGTGGGTGCTGGGGAAAGTTATTTCTTTAATCCCTCCCCCTTGTACTTTCTATCATTTGTTCTATGAACCCAACTAAGAGGCAACACATAAGAGTGTTCATTGTTAGGCTCTTCCTGTAGCAGGAATGTCTGTAAAGGAAAATCCATTTTATTATTGCCAAGAAGCTAGAATCAGGCAGGAAATTACTTTATATCTGGTGTCTTTCAAATCCACTGTGACCTCTGGTTCCCTCTCCAAGGGAATTTCCATTCATCAATAGCTACTGTGCCCAGAAGCTGGCTAGGAGCTACACGGCCAAGTGGCTCCTTGAGCTACCATTTAGGGTAGGTGGTGACTAAGGAAGCACGGGGTTGGAAATGGACCTGAACAGCCCAGAACCACATGTTGCAATGATTTCCACTTGTGTTGGTCCTTTTTCAATGGGTTTTACCTTTCTTTACATTGAGTTTATTGGCACTTTTTAAAGTATACAGTACAGTTACATTTATCATTGGGATTTTGCACCTTTACATGACAGATCTTGGTTCTCATTTTTTCCCCATATTCCTGTCCTCTCTTCACTCCCTCACACCTCCCCTATTTACAAAGACTCTTCCATTTTTCCTTTTCTCATATTTTTTCTTTTTCCTTATTTCCTTTCCCATACCCTTCCCACTTCCCCTATAGCTTTAGCTTTTTTCTTCCTATTTCACATTGTCAGTTATACAATTTGGATCTTATTTACACTTTTAGTTTTTATACCAAAGAAACTATTCAGTATTTACATATATGTATCTAATTTATTTCACTTAAGAGTATGACCTCAATGTGAATCAATTTTCCTATGAATGACTCTCATTTCTCATTCTTTATGGCTGAGTAGTGTTCCATTTTATAGAAAAGCCACATATTTATCCAGTCTCCAACTGATGGGCAAATGGGCTGTTTCCAAGTTTTAGCTATTACAAATTGTGCCGCTATAAACATGAGTATTCATATATCACTGTGATATGATTTTTTAAATTCTTTTGGAAAGATACCCAGCAGAGGGATAGCTGGGTCAAATGGAACCACTAGGCCTAGTTCTTTGAGGTATCTCCAAATTGATTTCCCAAGTGGTTGCACCAGTCTACACTCCCACCAGCAATGGAAAAGGGTTCCTTTCTCCTCACAGCCCTGCCAACATTTGTTATTGATTGATTTCCTGACAGCAGCCATTCTTTCTGGGTTTAGGTAGAATCTCAGTCTTGTTTTCATCTGCATCTCTCCAGTGATGTCAAACATTTTTGCATATATTTATTTGCTACTTTTACTTCTTTGTCTGAGAAATGTCTATTCATTTCAAATGACCATTTTCGAATCAGGTTTTTATATTTGGGGCCTGATTTTTTTTAGTTCTTTATATATTCTAGATAATAGTCCTTTGTCTGAGGAGCAGCTAGTAAAATGTTTTGCCTACATTGTAGATTGTCTCTTATCTCTGTTAGTGCTTTCTTTTGCAGTGCAGAAGCTTTTTAATAAGATGAGATCCCAGTTGTTGATTCTTTGTGCTAGTTCCCATGCTACTGAGGATTTGTTCGTAATGTCTTTTCCTATGCCAATGTCTTTGAAAGTTCTGCCTAACTTATCTTCCACAAAGTTTAGTGTCTCTTTTTTAATATTTAGGTCTTTAATCCACTTCGATTTTAGTTTAG